GCCTTCTCCATGGCTCTCTAGCAAGGGCAACCTGCAGCCACCTGGGGAGGCTGTGGTTTAGAGAGGGGTGCTGGTGAATTCCCCAACCCCAGGCTGATCTGCATATGCAAATGAGATGCAGATGACACCCCACTTCTCCCTGCTGCCCTTCCCTGGAGCTTGCAATCACCCCGATCCTCCCAGCTGCACCCTGGGCGCTGCCCAACACCCCACCCAGGGGTCCCCAAGGAGTGAAAGCTAAGGGGCGAGGGGCTTTCCCTCTGCTACGGGGTCGGGGAAGCTGGGGAGATGGCTGCGCAGGGGTCAGAGCAGCGCGCGGGAGCTGGCGGTGTCTGCACGGCCGAGCAAGCTGAGAGTCTTTCCTTGTCGCGGGGCCTTGACATTATGCTAAGGAGACAGGCGGCTTCCGGAGGGCTGGCTGCTTAAAAGGCAAGCCGTGTTCGGCCGCACCTCGCCCGCTGCCGGCAACGGCTGCTGCGCCGGATAAATTATTCACACCTGCTGGGGAGCCGGCTCCACTCCTCTTCCAGTCTCCCTGGGCACGACAGGGCTTGGCATGGGTGCCCTGCTTCAAGGAGGCTTGTGGCCCCGGTGTGTGTGTGTGCAAGCACGTGTGCGCCTCTGTTCTGGGTGTATGTGTGAGACCATGTGCTGGCATGTATGCCTGTCTCACCTTGCATGCGTATGCATGCCAGCAGCCGTGTGTGCCACAGCAGGCAGGCTGGTTTGCATGAACACACATGTGCAGGTGCCTGTGTGCATCCACTCCTGTGTGTGCCCCTCTCTCTACCCCCATCTCCATGTGTTTCTGCACGCGCGTGTGCATCCAGGGGTGCTTCTTGACCTGGCTCTCTCCCTTCTTCACACGTATGCATGCATGTACCCCGAGCATGCAGCAGTTGGCACAGACGGGGCGGCCAGAGCAAGTGCCTGGCGAGAGCGTGGAGAAGGGCACGCGGCGAGGGGAAGGGGGGGGACCGGCCGGCGATGCACACTCCAGGCCCTGTCTCCCTCTATTTATCAAATGAAGGTCTGATTAAACCCTAGGGCTGAGGCTCCAATCTCCCTCTCTCTCCTCTCGCTATTAAACTCAGGGTTCAAAGAAAAGCTTTTTATTCGCGCCGACAGCTTTCAGATGGAAGTAAATCTCCCCGCGCTCCCCCCGCTCCCCTCCGCTGCAGCTTCCCCTTCTCTCCGCTTGTACGTTGGAGCCTTTTTCTTTTTCCTTCCCCCCTTTCTTCCTCCCAAGCCGTTTGCTTCTATTTATATTAAAAAAAATACACGGGAAAAAAAAAGGGGAGAGAGAGAGACAGAGAGAGAGAGGGAGACGCCAGGTTTATTCTCCAAGAGAGAAAAGAGGATTTGGTTCCTTGCGGCCTTGCCCGGCAGAGCAGAAAGGCAGAGATTTGCACGCTGGATGAGGAAGGCGGGATTGCTGCGCGGCGGGGAGGGAGGGAAGGAGCGCGTATGGAGCTCGGCTCAGATGAGGGGGCAGCGGTAGGAGCCGGCTGGATGGAGGGGCTGTTACTGGGCCTGCCCAAGGGATTGGGGAGCTACAAGGCTCCATGTCCTTGGTTTGGGGTCCGGGGCAGCTCCTGAGCTTCTTTGCAGCTCCGGAGAATAGAGGGGGCATTAGAGCAGCCCAGAGGCTGCCCTGAGTGACCCTAACCCCAAAACCCGGAGCAGGGTGGTGATGGCGGTCTCACTCCCCATAAGCACCCCATGCCCTGCGGAGCTGGGGGTCTGAGCCTGGTCGCTCCCTCCTGCTCCTCATTTCATGCTTGGCCTTCCTTCTCCTGAGCAGAGCACTGGAGATGGGGAAGCCTGGTACTAGGAACAGGGGGAAGCATGAACCCCTCCTGCCAGGCACCCCCAGCCTGGTGCCCTCCGTGCCAGGCACCACACTGCAAGGGCTTGGCTGCTACAGAGAACAGCAGGCGGGGAAACTGAGGCACAGAGCAGGGCAAGGGAGTCCAGGGTCGCACTGCAGAGCTGAACACAGGACCCAGGCATCCTGGCATAGTGCCACCCCACAGCTGGGGAGAGCACCCAGGAGTCCTGACTCCCAGCCCCCTGCTCTTTTCAGTGGGAAACTCCCTCCTAGACCTGGGGAAGGAACCCAGGGGTCCGGCTCCCAGGTCCTGAACCTGTGTGCGCGCCAGCCAAGCTCCATCTCCAGCGCCTGCCTGGTGGGGCCCCTCCGCAGCCCATGGTTTGGCACTCCGCTGTGTCACCGAGCACAATTCAGTGCAAAGCCCAGGGGTGAAAAAGCTTTGAAGCCATCCCTGAAATAACCCACCAGGAGCTGGAAATAACCATGGAGCAGCAGGGAGGGTGTGGGGGCCTCCTTTCCTGTTGGCATGGTCCACTCCAGTGCCGACTCTAGCCCCTCTCACCTGCTGCCTGCCTGCTGCGGGTCGGGCAGTGCCAGGAGGGCAGAGGGCTTTGCAAGGGGCAGCTGAAGCTGCGGTGATGTGGACTGGAGAGACTATGGGTTGGGGACCAGGCTGGAGGGGACCCCGGCCCACACAGCCCCACGGCACGGTCCTGTGCCCAGCGGAGCGACCCCAGGGCCGGGATCTCGCGTGGCACATCCCTGCCTCCTCCCAGCTGTGCTGGCTCTGCAGGAAGCAGGAGGCTATTTTAGGAGCTGCAATTTGGGCCCCATGATGAGGCCGATGTGCCCAGCAGGGCTGGGGCACAGCTGGAGGAGAAGGGGTGGCGGGGCTGGGTGGCATCTGGGGAAGGCAGGAATCCCCTCCACTACACCCAAAACACCTGAGGAGGCAGGGGCAGGGGTGGGGGCAGCAGGACACGTGCCAGGGGCACCCTGAGCTCTTGGGGCCAGCTCCAACTGCAGTTGTGGAGCTCAGGGGAGGGTCTTTTTGTGCAGATGAGCCCAAGCCTAGCTCCTGTCCCTGGGGCGGGTGGCACTGGGGGCACAGGGGTCCTGGCCTGCCTCAGCCAAGCAGAAGGAAAACACTCCCAGTCCTGCTTCCTGTCCCTGACTCTGCCCTGTCCTGCTGGGTATCTGCAGGCCAGCTGCTTTCCCTGCCTGTGCCTCAGTTTTCCCATCTATAAAATGGGGCTTCCTCCCTTTCTACCCATCAGAGGCAGGGGCTATCTTGCACCCAGCACCTCCTCCCTCCAAGGCCAGCCACCCTGCCCCATTTTCCCATCTCAGACTGTCACAAACCTACAGCTGCCTGCACCCTGGAAGCTGCGGCAGAATCCGGCCAGGCCAGCTTTTTAGCCGTTTGAGCTGAAGGCGAATCCCCACCAGCACCCAGCAGTACAGGGCTTAGGACACACAGTGTGTCACAGGGTAGCCCTCCCTCTCCCCCACACATGCAGCCGGCTCCTCCGGTTTGGGGCTCTGACCCACGGCTGCGCAGGACACGAGCAAACCAATTACCGTAATGACCAGCACTGCCTTGACAGGGGCGGATCAGCCCGGGGTCAGCCCCTCAATTAACTCCAGCTGCTGCCCTTCGGCCTCTCTGGCTCTTCCCCCACTCGCGCCTGCCCCCGACATACCAGCGCATTTAATGATGTTCGTAATAACCGGAGGCTGCCTCCACCCCGCGGAGCCGTGACCAGGAGGCAGCTGCTGGGCTGGTCAAACCCAACGGGCGCACTCTGTCTTCTGCCACAGGCACCGGAGCGCCCCAGTGCCTTACCCACAGTGCCTGGGGTTTGTTGCAGAGCTGGGATATTAGGATTAAATCGTTCACAGGACTGCAATCAGTGCCAATGAAAGATGCAGCGATTGTTGTGGCGGGGCGCGGGGTCCAGCCTTCCCCGGGCCCCTCATCATGGGTGGGGGGACCTGGCTGGGTGCTGTCCCAGTGCAAAGGCAGCAGGCAAGGTTTGGGGGGCAGCAGCCAGCCATACCCTCTTCAGATGGCAGCTGGCAGCTTCCCCTGAATGGAGACTGGCTCCTGCCATGGGGCATCACCCCCTGCCCAGCTTTCCCCTGCAGGCTCCAGCTCCCGGAGTCTGCACAACCCTGGTCTCCTCCCCTGCCAGGCTGTTGCGCCCCTGGGGACTGCCGGAGACTGCTGCGGCCCCAATCCTTGCTGATCTGTGGGCTGGGAGCAGACAGGGCCGGCAGCATCCTGCTCCTCTCTCTGTCTCCAGCAAAGCCTTGAAGCTGTCCGGGTCCCTGTGATATCCCTTTACACGCACCTCCCCCCCCAGACGCACACGCACCCCGTCTTCCCCGCTGCTCCCACGAGAGCCTCCCACTTCCTCCTCTTGCTGCCCATCGCCGGCAGAGGAGACCAGCCTTGATTGGTTGTGACACCAATCTCACAACAAATTTAGCACCTCATTTCCCGGCCGATCAAATATTCCACCTCGATTATCTCCCGGCCATGGAGACGGGGCAGCGCGCCACCCGGGCCCCTCCACAGCCCGTCAGCCTCCATCAGCATCACGCCACGGGTTGCTGGGCGTGGCGGGGGGGACGGCGCAGGTGGCAGAGTGTGGAGCCTGGATCCTTTGGCTTTGTGCAACGTCGACAACTGGGGCCCACTCGCTGCTCCCTGCGCTGGGAAGAGCTCTGGGGGGCAGGAGCAGAGCATCCCCCAGGCTGGGGGGGATCTAGCGCCCAGTCTGCCGTGGCCCTGACAGCTTCCCCAGAAGAGAAGACAGATGCATAAGAAGCAGGTTGAGCCTGACCTGCAATGGTCTCTGCCATGGGGGTGCAGGGGGACTGTCGCTCAGCTTTTCCCTGCCTCAGTTTCCCCATTGGAATGGGTCTAATCATCCCACCTGGTCCACACCCTCTTCTTTGGGGCAGGGGTTGCAGGATGTAATTAGTGCCCCGGGGTGCTGCTATATTACACTGCCTCCCCTGGGGGGGGTGGGGGGTGGTACTAGCCAGGGACAGACGGATGGTACAGGGGTGCTGGACAGACAGACGGGTGACAGCTTGGCGGTTCCAAATGAGCCCCCCGTTATGCCAGTTTGGCCTCAGGTCTCGTCCCAGAAGATCTCAGACTGCTTTGCACCCCTGCCATCCACACAGGCAAAGGCTCACCTGCCCAGCACTGAAATATAGGGGTGGAACATAGCAGCTCTTGACTAATGACCTAGTGCAGCCTCCTCTGGGGCGTAACAGGAGGCAGAGACCTCACTCCTGCCCAATCAATGTCATGAGAGTGGAGCACAGTGGTGCTTCTAGCCCCGTGGTGCTTGGTGCTGTATACGCACTAAGCAGGAGATGGCCCCTGCCCAGTCTGGCCTGACCGACAGGCGGGAAGGGACAAAGAGGCCCCACTTCACCCACCCTCGCCATGGGGCCCCCTGCTTCCTTCCTGCACCACTATGGAGAAATGGTCTCTCCCCTGCTGCCAAGTGAAGCGACCGGAGCCAATTCACCCCAGGTTAAGGACAGTCAGTCACCCCCATTTTACAGATGGGACAACTGAGGCACAGCAAAGTAAGGAAGGGCCTTGTGCGGGGTCAAGAGGCTGAGGCAGCAGCAGAGCTCTGCCTGGGGTCCCAGGGAGACTTGGGGGGCTCCATCATTAGCTTTCCCCTTCCCCCGGGCCTGGCTAGAGCCCTCACATGCTTCTCCCCAGTACCAATGGGCCCTGAAACGCCACCATGCAGAGCTCAGCCCCAGCCTTGGCTGTGGGTCTAGCAATAGGGGAACTGTTGCTGCTACAGATCCCAACCCCAAGCTGTGAGGGGGAGCAGCGTCATCCCTACCCCAAAACAGGCACACATGGGGTGGCTTCCTATTAAAACCTGGCTGGGAAGAGACATCCCCAGCGGGGGGGCACAGCAGGGCCGTTCTGCTTCTCCATAATATCCCGGCCTCATCCTGCTAATCATCCCGGAAAATGAATGCCTGGCTCGCAACGCTGCCCATGAATTCCCCGCGTAATTACATCAAGCGCGGGGCCGCGGCAAGGCCGGTAAAACACAACCCAGCGCCGGTGGGGGAAGCATTCTCTCCATGTGTGCATCGAGTGAGAGAAACCCACGGCTTTGCTGCCTTCTAGCAGATGACTTGAGCTGCTGGGGGTATCGGGAGGGGTGGGGGGCACGTGCCTTGCACTGCCATGCTTACCCACAAGCATGGCACAAGGCCCCAGGGAGAAGGGAGAGCTGGGTGAGGGCACGGGGGGATGTTGAGGGGCAGGGGTTGGACGATGGCTGTGAGTTGCATAGAGTTAAATGGTGCCAGCAAACAGAGAGACCCTAAAATAACATCCTGGCAGGTCTGACAGCAGCTGACCAAGGCATGCCCCTGGCCCAGAGCAGTGTCCCTACTACATCGAGCTGATGTTGGACCCAACACTGCAAGGGCTCGGCTGCTACAGAGAACAGCAGGTGGGGAAACTGAGGCATGGAGCAGGGCAAGGGAGCTCAGGGTCGCACTGCAGAGCTGAAAATAGGACCCCAGAGTCCTGGCATAGTGCCACCTCACAGCTGGGGAGAGAACCCAGAAGTCCCGACTCCCAGCCCCCTGCTCTTTCCAGAGGAACAGGCACAAGCCACCTGTAGCAACAAGCTGATGCATGTGCGCGCCCAGATGCATGTATGCATACACACAAGTACACATGCATGCAGGCAGACACACAGATGTACATGTATACACATATGCATGCACATAAATGCACAAACATAAATGTACACACATGCACTCACACTTATACGAATGTATACACACACACATATACCCAAAAATACACACACGTGTACATGCAAATGCCCTGCAAGAATAGCAGGCCCCGAGGCAGAAACAGGGCTCAGTCTGACTGACCGCTGGCACCCCTGGCTGGGTGCCATGGCAGGCAGCTGGGAGCGGTGCCCTTTGCTGCAGGGATGCTGCCTGGCCTGCCTAAATGTGCTGAGCTCAGCTCCAGACTGTGGATCCACCGGCGGGAGGCGCTGCGTGGGAGCTGGGCTCTGCGGCCAGGCCGGGGGTGCTGCCCAGGCACCAGAGACTGGTAGGGCAGCTCGCTGGGGGACATGGGGGGCTCCCTGGGGCCCCCTCCCCAGCTTGCTGTACCCACAGCATGCTCCCTCCCCTGCTGCGGGCACCCCTGGGTCCTCTGCAGCGGGTCCCAGAGGCAGGGGCACCCTGGCAGGGAGCCGCTCACAGCACGAGGGAGCTCTGCCCTCCCTGCCCAAAGCCCTGGCTCTGTGACAGCCAGCCCTGGAGCTAAGCAGCCACTTCAAAGCCTCTGCCCGCCTTGGGGATAATCGCCTCCGACCTTCAGCTCTAGCCCAAGCCCTCTTAGGCCGCCAGCTTGTGCCACGCTCCCGAGAGCCCACGTGAGGGGCTGCGGGGAGAGTGCAGCCCCCAGGGCCTGGCCTGGCCTGGCCCAGCCTGTCCAGGATCGAGGCTGAGCCAAGTCTCCCCTTTTTGGGGACAGGGGCAGGTTTTGAATCTGTTTGGCTCTGCCCCATTTGCATCCTGTGGAAACAAAGAGCCACCCCTGGGCTGCTCTCACGCCTGCTCAGTCCCCCTCCTGCTCCGTCACCCCCCGGCTTCTTCCCTCTCTGCTTTGCCTGGCTCTGCAGATGCAACTCGGTCATCTCTGCACACATTCATCCCCCTCCTGCCCGATTCAGGAGGGTCCCTGAGACCCCCCTTCAGCTCACTGCACCCAGCCAGGGAGAGAAGGGGCTTCCCCAGGAGCATGCCCCTGTGCTGCACCCAGGAGGGGACTCATGGCAGCTAATGGGAATCCCCAAGACAGCAGAAAAGGGCTCCTGACACACAGCTGAGCTGCTCTGATGGCATCCGAGATGGGGACAGCAAACAAGCAGGGTTGTCCGGAGACCCAGGCAGCTCCGCATCCCAGTGCCAGGACCAACAAGGAGTTTTAGCCTGGAGCCCAGCTGCAGCACCCATCCAGTGGCCCACCTTCTCCTCCACTCGTGATGCATCGCTCCCCATCGTCCCCTCCTGGGTGCAGCACAGGGGCATGCT